CAAAATAGACAACTGACAGAGGTCTCTAGATGGATCATGAGCTGTGAGTTTTCTCTATCGTAGGATGGATAAACCCCATCGTTAAGTTGGTAATTTTTGTACTAAAAAAAAGTGGGTAAATTTAATTAATTTTTTTCCTTATTTTAAAAAAGATAATATAATTCATTATTACATTTTTTTAAGTATAAWATGTAGAAAATGATGTGAACTCACGACATTATAGTCAAATATACGTATCTTAACAAATTCAACTATGTTTAGATTGACCATAATTAATTATTACAGTTGGTTGGTTAAATATTAAAATTATAAGTCAAATATACGTATCTTAACAACTATGTTTAGATTGACCATAATTAATTATTACAGTTGGTTGGTTAAATATTAAAATTATATATTTAATGGTGGATTTTTGAGCTAACTCAAGAAATTGAACACCTATATTCTATTAAAAGAAAAATTATATACTTGATGCATTAATTAATAGAATTTATTTTTACCGTTTCATCTAAGGAAACTTGCTTGCCTACCTATTAGGTTAGCGCAACTCCACGAGATATTTTATTTATTAATTGTGTGGTGTATTTTCATTGAAAAAAATTACTTATCTATTAAACAGGACAAAAATATGTCAAATCATAAAATTAGTGAAAACTCCAGCTGGCTTTTGTTTTTATTAAATCTCATCAACAGCCCATATTATATTATTTGTGAACTATATTAATTTTGCTGGGAATTTAACGCATACTGTTAAATTGTTTATAACTAGGTTATTTGTTATTGTATCATTCACCAAATTGACATAAACTTACTATTTTTTAATAAATGTTAAATATTTATATACATAGTAAATTATTCACTAATTTCGTAGACTGTTAACATAATTTAATTGAAAATTTGTGACTAAAATAAAATTTAAGTAAATAGATAAAATTAATTATGTAGACGTGGATGACGAGTCAATCTTCAAATTTCCTTCACGGTCAAGTATCTCGTTGTCATCATCTAGCTTTATGTTAGGTCAAAATCCCTAACATATGTATTGTACTTAAAAAAATATATTTTTATAATGACTTTAATTAAAAATCTTAATTAATTTTGTTTTATTTTTATTTTTAATGTATACGTATGAAACAACAAAAGTGAAAGCCATGGTTGTTTGAGATGTCCCTCGGACCCACAAGTATGTCAAATCGGTCGATAATTAACATATTGCTTAAGCGCCTAATTTCTAAACATAATCAAATATTGCCTGCCCTTTTTTCATAGTTTCTAACCCATCAAATCCATATATTTTACAAATTAATTTAAATATGGTTGGCATTTATAAACTGAACAGAAAAAAAAAACAGCTTTTACCTATGTATCAGTGAGTTAATTTCAACCCAACATTTCAATTTGGTCAATAAACGGTACGGTAACCCTGAATAATTGATGAAAAAAAAAACAATTTATTTGGAGGATAATAATTGATGCAAATTCAACCTTACACTTTGGTTCACTTTAATAAATAGTGGAATTGTATTAAGAAAAAAATAATTAAAAAAAAAGCAGTGGAATTAATATTGTTAATTAGTTAAGTTTAATCATCACTTAAAAAGATGGTCGAAATCAATAGTTCAAAATTAAAATGGACTCACCGAGTTAACTATTCCRATAAAAATGGATTAGGAATTAAATTATAAATATGATCGTTATGGTTTTGGTACAATTTTAATATTATCCTCATCAATTTAAATGTCTTAACTTAGACAGTCTGTGTTATTTGATCGTTGTTTTAATTTGGTCTCAATAATTCTAAAAGTTTCAGTTTAATCCACATGTCCAGCTTGGTTTAATTTCATCTCTATACTTCGATTAAATCTTACTAATTATTTATAGACTATGTTTTCCAGAGAGAGAAATCACATATTTCCTTTGATCTATTACTCTAGCTTTTAAGTCCAATATAGTTGCCCGATACATTTTTCCAGGTAGAAAAGTAAAAGCTCATTCTCATCTTCATTTTTTGGTCAATATGGCAAAGACAACATTGATTTTAAAGTAATATATAATCTCAAATTATAGAAACCAAATTAAAAATAAGTCCAAATGATCTGAGTTGTTAAATCAATTTTTTATAATTATATACTCTAAATTGAAACTATGGTCAAATTATTATTTCACCAGGCCATAAATTATATTAAGATGGACTAATTCGTACTTAAAAAAAAGAAAGGAAAAAACATGGACTAATTCCACTATTATTCCATTAAAATGTAAAATGTGAAATATTATTTTATAGCAAAATTCAAAGTGGACACGGGTCCTCTCTTTCTTAACAAGTTAAAAAAAAAAAAAAAGAACTATCACTAAATAAAACAAATATTTAATTTATTATAAAAATAGAGATTATACGAGAAATATATAATTTGATGTGTGTTTGAAAATGGAAGAGGTAAAAAATGGACAAAAGTTTCGCTTTCCGAAAAATCAAAATTCCGCATTTCCAAACATACCTTAAATGGATGGTTGGATCTCGGGCCTTTCATGGGCCCATATCCTTAAAACTGAGAGATCGCAGGCGGTGGACTTTTAACTTTATGCTAACCCAACTTGGACCCACGGTTACGCTAACCCAACCATGGTTACTACTTAACGGCGTTGTCAGACTTTTATTTATTTATTTAACTTGGTTTTATTGTGTGTTGGAACGAGGATAACTGGCGTTTGGGTTCCGTCAACCACTCGTGCCACGTGTAAGAACAGAACAATATCCAACCAACCCATGGAAATGAATTCGTGGCGCGAGACGATCACGTGGACCTACTGAAATCATAATTGTGGACAAAAATGCCACATAGCCACTACCCATACTTTTTTTTTATTCGAATAATTTCTTTTGATGTATACTAGAATAGGAATGGTCGATAATTTCTTAAACTACAAAATTAACTTTTTATGATTTACACTTTTTCTTAAAGCTACGTGAAAATATTTCTACTGATATCTTTTTTAATTGAAATTCGAACATAATTAAATATATAAGATACCTAATATCACTCAAAATGTAGATACAAATAAAATTATTCTAATTAATCTATGTCTAACATTTTGTAATTTATGAATACAAATTATGCATTTTTTTTAAATAAAAGAACGTGCAATTATTTTTTTCCCCTTAAAAAACTGAGCTTTTATATACCTAAATTAAATTAAGAATGGTCAAATATTTAAAACGGAAAAAAGTCAAAACAGAAGAAAAGTAACGACAGTGGAGTTTTAATTTCTATTTTGGCAGTCTCTGGTTGGGTGGCAGTGGGGTAAAATAGAAAGGGTTAATTAGACCACGTCCCCTCGCTTCCCTGTTTAACGCCACGAGGAAATTACCGCGTGGTAAAAAGACCTATAGATTCCTTCAGCGTAACGGAACGGCCGTTTAAGAAACCAGCGGTTTCGGGGAAAGCCCACAGGGTGTCCCCACCTTTCCGGTCCACGTCACCACTCCGATTCCGTTCACTGAGCTAACTCACTCCCCGTTCCGTTCGTTCTGCCTATAAAAAATAAGACGAGGGTAACTCCTTTTCTCGCTTTCTTCACTACGCCTCTTTCTAGTCTCTTCTTTTCCTTTCGATTCCTCTCTTTTCTTCTTTGGCGCCTTTCTTTTTACCTCCATTTCCGACTCCAACTCATACTTTCATCTATTTTCTGTTTGATTCTCGGGAAATTTGTCTCGTAACGACGAAACAACTGTTCGAATTTCCTTGGTTCCTTCTTTTGATCTGTTTTCCCTCGACGTCTGTTGCTGTTTTCTCGTAATTTGAAGGTATACTATTTCATTTTTTTTCTCATATTTTCTTCTCGCATTCGTTATGGCGGTTCGTTTTATTGAAGGCCTTATGCGTTTACTTTCATTTTGTTGACTCTCCGTTTAGCCTTTTGTTGGCCTAGTTTTGGCGATTCTCGATTGCTCTGTTTAGCAGCTCTTTCCTGTTCGTATTGTGTGTTTTTTTTTTAATTTTCCATTTCGAGTGAGCGTCATCGATTATATGTGTGCGTAATCGCAGTGTCATTTTGTTTAGTACTTTTTTTTTGTTTTTTGGTTTCAATTTGAGGTCTTACGTCAATTTCGTTTAGCGAGTTTTGTTTTCTTTTGTTGTCTTCTTCTACTGATCGAGCTCCCTGTTCCGTAGGGTAGGCCGATGGAGCATTTTCAGAACGACGATCTTGCATATATTGTAGATGACTACTATGAAGTGGATGATTTTGATGGTGATTTTTTCTCTGATGACGACTTCCATACTGATCAAAGTATCGAGCACATAGACTCGGACTTTGAGGATGATATCGATACAGATACAGTTAGTATTGATGTTCCTCTTTCCAGTTAGCCTTTTGTCCTGTGCTATTGTTGATATCGTTAACAATTGTAATGGAAATTTTGTTTTTACAGAGCACACCGAAGACGGATACCTCTGCCTTGGACGCTAGGAATGGGAAAGACATCCAGGGAATACCTTGGGAGAGGTTTACTTTTACCAGAGATAATTATCGGGAAAAGCGTTTGAGCCAGTACAAGAACTATGAGAGCCTGCCAAGTTCTGGTGTGGAACTGGAAAAGGTACCTTTTCCTTCTTTAATTTTCTTGCCCCTGTGTCTTCTGACTTCTGTTATTTGCAAGTGGATATTCATACCCTTCCACTTTCGAGCACGGATTGGCTGCTCTAATTATCACATCGTTTTCAATAATAATTTTTAGTAATTTCTTGTCTTCCTAAACAAGAGCGTGGTGTTCAAGTAACTTGAACTCCGGGCCGAGTCTTTGGGCTTGCAATTAGTAAATCTTACTTCAATTTTTACACTATTATGGGGGAAGAATTGCACGCTTTTTTTTTTTTTTTTTGGGTTAAATTTTTTTTTGTTTGCACTATTTAGTGAATACCAACGCCATTTAACTTATTTTTAGTCTGTTCGTCGTTCACTTCTGGCAATTCTCTTCTCATCGTTAAATCTACTCTGACAGGAATGCTTGCAAGTGGAGAAGGGGAATAACTTCTATGACTTTCAGTTCAATACGAGGGTGGTTAAATCAACAATTGTTCATTTTCAGGTATAGTCTTTATAAGCTGTTTTGATTAAAGACATGGGTTTTATATTTCTTTTCAGCTAGTTTTATTTATATCGTTTTCCAGGTCCCGTCCGTCCCTCCCATAAGAAGTAATTAATTACGATWAAAAGCTCGAATCGAACTCTAAAATAAAAAGAAGCGGATTAACGACGTACACAATTTAGGCTGAAAAACGCCATATGCAATCATGTTATTCATCATCCTACGCGTTAATTTCCCCCCAATTTTTTTAGAAATCTTCATTTCCATTGAATTCATATTTCATCAACTTAACATTAGGCTCATACATCATCTTTGTGCTGTAGGTGCATGTTTCATCACGATTTATAATAAATGATTGGTTCTAGTTAGTTGATCATCGTAGACCTCCTTTTCTGAGTTATGCAAGTATATTTGCTGGAACGGCAGTGGATTTGTTAAAAACTCTGCACGTGATCAGGATGCGTTCTTTTATAGGCTCTTCATCATAATTATCCAACCATCATTAGCATTGTAGTTTTGCAGGTTTTGAATATGTTATTGTCCTTTATGGATGTGTTTATAAATCATTCTAGCTCTATGTCCTGATCATACATTTCAAGGTATGAAGTCCAGAATTCTTACTATATTGGTTCTCTATTTTACAACATTTTCATTTGATATGAATTTAATTACCAGAAACTAACTTACTTTGAAAAGTCTTCCAGCTTAAAACTTATGGTCCAGTGAGGCCATGATTCAGTATTTGGTTCAGGCATGCAATCGTTGATCTAATTTTTATAATCTGGTTGCTATGACTATGAACAATGGGTGCTTCTCTTACAATTACGTAACTTCAATTTGATCAATACACGTGGAACCAAATGCTCTTTGAAATTTTCAAATCCCCTCTTGATATAATTTTGATTGATGCTTGCTGCTCTATAGTTTTGCATGCCAACTTTTGGACAATCTATAATAATTTTATAAAAGCGTTTATCAAGAATGCAATCTTCAATATGCGTCAGACATCATTTATGCGATGAAAGATGCTGTGGTGATAAATTTGGGATGTCCGATGTCCATGCATCATTGCAATGGTATGACCTAGTACTTTTGGTCATTGGAATTATATCATACTGCTGTTAATTACTTCTTGAGGATGTCAATTGTCCACCTGGTCTGCTATAAAATTTATTGTTACTTTTAATTTCCTGGACGTTCGTTCTTGGTTTTGAATTCCCTGTTACATACATCTGTGGCAAATGATAACAGGGGAAACCTGTCTGGAACCCCATCTTTATTTTATTTCTTCGTGATATTTGTTGTAAATACGGTTTTTCATCAGGAGTGTTAAATACAACTTTATCACTTTAACCCATCTGTGGCATTTAGGAATGCTATTTCTGTTTATTTCAGCATTTAATGCAGAGTGGAAGTTATATCTGAGCAGCTGCCAGGACGTTGTTATAATATGGTACGATAGGAAAATATCTGAACATTTAAGAGGCCTCTGTAGCAACCTATAGTTCAACTAGATTTTGGCGTGTCATTAGAGGCCAAATTAACTTTTTTCTAATCATATCCATTTCTGATAGTTACTAGGTTTTTATTTCATGCATTTGAGATCTTATTAGTTGATTTACCTGTCTGATTTTTGTCATGTTATATGTTCATGATATTTTATTTACTCGTTGAATTATACTTATGCTTGTTAAATTTTATAAAAACATGAACAATTATAATTATTTTAGAGTTGTAATGTGGATGCAGTCATGAGATTCCTGTCAGCCAGCCTTCTATCTCTTTTATGTCCATCACAGAGTCAGTAGCCTGCTGATTCGGGCATCTATTATGGGACTTAGTCCTCTGTATATTTTGTTAGCCCTGCATTTCGATAGCCTTTTTAGCATTCCATGTGCATTATTCAACTAATTCTACCTGCACCGCATAAGGGCACAACTTGAGGTTCTGGTTCAATTTCCTTCACAGATGTAGAGTTGAATCAACACATCGTCTAAACCACCCCTCAAGTCAAAAGCTATCTTTCTTCAAGTGTCTTCGCCTTCTTCCTCATTCAAAATTATTTTAATCTTCCAAGGCATGCAAAATGGTTCACGTGTCTGAATCACCTCGTTGAAGGATAAAGTTTTAAAGCATAACCTTTCGATGCCTTTTTCTGGCAGCTAATTTTCCTTTTGGATTTGGTTACTTAGCTACTAAATTGAAGGGGCACCTTTTAATGCGTACCAGAAGCCAGCCAAAATGAAATCTGCATGTTGTGTTGTGCGTGTGAGAGAGAGAGAGAGAAGCGAGGAAGTGAGATAGGAGAGAGAGCAGAATTTTGTGAATTTATGTTGCGATTTAGAATTTTGAATGTTGTCTTTTGATGCCAGTAACTGACTTCTTTGTTCCTACCTTGCAGCTAAGAAATCTACTGTGGGCAACTTCTAAGCATGATGTATACCTCATGCAAAACTACTCAGTAATGCACTGGTCCTCATTGCTTCGGAAAGGCAAAGAAGTACTCAATGTGGCTAAACAAATTGTTCCCACGCTGGTATGTGGTCATTGGGTAGACCAAGGTTATTGAAATTTTTGCTTTGACTAAAATTTAGGCACTTACGTTGATCTTGATCTCTTGAACAGAAACGCCCTGGAGTCTTATCCCAGTCATTGTCTAGAGTCCAGATAAGCACGATGACAGTTAAGGAGAACTTGATCGTGGCTGGTGGTTTTCAGGGGGAACTAATTTGCAAGGTATGGAGACTTTTGTAGACCATCCATTTATAAATGGGGTTTCCAATTATCTAATTTACTTCCCTTTCCCCAATGTTGCAGTACTTGAATCATCCTGGAGTTGAATTTTGCACTAAAATGACAACAGAAGAAAATGCAATCACAAACGCTGTTGATCTATTTCATAATCCAGAGTAAGTTTCATCCCATTAAGAGTTACGGGTTCCATATTTTCATTGACTAGGGTCGTATGACTTATGTGCCTTTTCTTTACAGTGGTGCAATGAGGGTTGTCACTGCAAATAATGATGCAAAAGTCAGGATTTACGACGCCAAGACTTTCGCTTGCCTTAATGGCTTCACATTTGGCTGGTCCGTTAATGTAAGTGATTTAAATTCAGCATCATAGAACTTTTGATGGTTTAACGCGATGATTCACTGCTCATGTTCTGTTTTTTTTTTTTTCCTCTCTCCTTATTTTTTCCACTTGTTTCCACAGAACACCTCTGTTAGTCCAGATGGGAGAATGCTGGCAGTTCTTGGGGACAGTACGGAGTGCCTGCTTGCAGATGCCAACTCTGGCAAAGTAAGTATCCTTCCAAGCTTATATCAATGCGTTTACATATTCTTCTCTCCTCATACTTCTTCAAAATGTTAAATTCTTAGATGTTGATGACATTCCATTGTGCAACAGGTGATTGAGAGCCTCAAAGGGCACTTAGATTACTCTTTTGCCTCTGCCTGGCACCCCGATGGACGCATTTTGGCCACTGGGAACCAAGATACCACCTGCAGACTGTGGGATATAAGGAACACGTCCAAGTCCCTAGCTGTGCTCAAGGGAAGAATGGGAGCAATCAGGTGTGTGAAATTCAGCTCCGATGGCAAATTCCTGTCGATCGCCGAGCCTGCAGACTTCGTCCATATCTTCGAAAGCCGTACAGGTTATGGGCAAGCACAAGAAATCGATCTGTTCGGGGAAATAGCTGGAATATCCTTTAGTCCCGACACTGAAGCTCTGTTTGTGGGAGTTGCTGATCGAACCTATGGTAGCTTATTAGAGTTCAACAAACGACATGATCACAAGTACATAGACTCCATCTTCTAGACCATCAACCACTCCCATGAAGCAGAGAAGCAGATGGAATTGTATATAAGAATATGTATGTATAATTTTCCTGTAATGTTGGTGTTTGAATTTCAATCTAGCAACAGCAGATTGATCCGTATGAGTTCTGAGTTAAAGGTTGGCATAAGCATTGTCATTCTGCGGAAGAGTTGGAGCCGATTCTAAGATTGCGGGAGCGATTGATTTGGGGGTGGAGAATGATTGTGTTGTGGTGGTGTAAAAGAGTGAGTGATTATTTAGATTTGGTGTAAATTGTGGAAGCTCATCAATGTCCTGAAAATGGCCAAATGGAAGAGATCTGCCTGAAGTTTTCGTTTTAGTTATACTTTGGGCGGTATTGGGAGCTCATTTGTTTTGGTGTTCTCTATATTTTGGGATGGAATGGAATGAATATTGGTCAGTCCATTTTGAACCGATTGATTCAATTCGTTTCTTTTTCTTATATATTTATTTATACAAATGCTGTATACATCATTTCCAATTGCCCTTTTCCCTTTTCCCTTTTCCCTTGTGTTTTCCAACTGTACTCTCATTTTTCTTTTCTTCTTTTTACTTCAACATAGGAGTGGAGATTTGTTGAAAGAGAAGTGAATTTTAATTACGATGAATTTTTAAGAAGGTCGAATCGGGAGTGTCAAAATATAACTAGACAAGGAATTTTAGTCTCCATCTTCTAACAAAAATGTATTAAAAGAAAAGGAAATACATGTTTGCAGTTACAAATTTAGAATTTGAAACTGAGAGTTGAAAAATAATAAGAAATTGATAAGAGAAATTGGAGGTTGTGTCACGCGTGGCTGACTGGTTTACAGGTCAGATTCACATGTCTCTCATTTGGACTTTATGATTTGGTGAATTGATTCTCCAAAATCAAGCTTGGGCCCACGCACCCACTTCATTTACAGTTCTGGGCCTCAAATAAGGCCCACATCCCAATTTTTACACACGCGTCCCACTGCCCCTCCATTAAGATTTCTTTTTTCTTTTTAAATCTGGAAAACTTTTGTCCTTTCCAAACCATAAAATCAATTAAGAACAAATAAAACAACTCTACTCGGTAATCTTCTCCATTTGCTAATTTTTTCAAAGCAAACAAATTGAGAAAGTTGAAAGGTAACTTTTTGTCGGGCAAAACTTCTCAAGCCGACGAGCGTTAGAATGGCTCTATTTGAATTTTGAGGTATTTTTTAGTATTACTTTCAAATATTGAAAATTGAAACTTGTAGAATATAACATTGATTGTTGTAGGTTGATGATGAAGTACGAACTTTCGATTTCCTATATTAGTTGAATGTGTTTGGAATCTTTGGACCTCAATTTTGTTGTCATTCCATTTTTCCTTCTAAAATAAAATATTTTATTCTATTTTGTGATTTAGAAATGTGGCCTAGAATTATGAGACATGGCCATTCCTATTYATGATAAGATCATTTTTATTTTTAGCGAAGTAAAACTTATCCATTAATTTTCAAAATGAAAGATTCTTCTCCAAATACTAAAAAAAATGTTAAATAATCGACCAGAAGATTGAYTTCTCCAAATAAAAGAGAACACAATTTAGATTATTTGARTCTGCACCTACATGACCCAATTTAATGTCAATGAGGATGGCATTTTTGAATGAGGAAGACGTGAATTTTTAACGACCACATAATTAGTCGTCCTTGTCTTATAGACATTCATATATCTATTCCAACCTACCTAACAAAACAAAATTACATCCGCATTATATATTTTGACGCTATTTCTTTAGTGAAGCACTTAATTTTGGTTTCSAACGCAGAAAGCTTTGTCAAGGCTGCTATAATAAAACAATAACAACTACACTTCCGACAAATAAAAAGAAAGTTAAAAAACCATTTTTGGTCCTTGTACTTTTATTGGAGTAACAATTTATTCCCTGAACTCTAATATGTAACAATTTAATTATTGTAGTTTAAAGTTTATAATGATTTAGTTCGTACTGTGAAAATTTCTATTAAATTTCTTATATATGTAGATCAATAAATCGACAAAGAACTAAATGTGTTTATAAATTACAAAGTATGATAAAAAATGACACTCAATTTTARTGAGATTTTTCATTCTAARGACTAAATTGTTATAAATTTTAAACTATAAAAACTAAATTATTATATATAAACGTTCATAGGCTAAATGGTTACCAATTTAAAATTATAATATTTTTTTTTGAAGTTTAAATAAATGAAAATTGGAGTTCAAATTTGAAGAGACGGTTCCAAATTCCAAAGGGGATGCGTGGGAGAGGCGTGAAGAATTCTGTTCTTAAGAATATCCAATTGCTATAATGACCCGAATCCGCTCCGAAAACGACCCACCAACCAATTCCTTT